CCTGGACCTGGTCTCAGACCCTGGACCTGGTCTCAGACTCTGGACCTGGAGAGTTATTTGTGGAGGTTTCCTGTGCGGTGGAAGTAGGCCACACATTCCTGAGGATCCAGCTGCCGGTCGGAGCGGATGAGTCTCCTCCTCTGTTTCCACAGTCTGATCCTCCGCTCCAGTTCACAGATCTTCATCCACCGACAGACTCTCACTCCTCTGTTTCTACAGAGTCTGAGAGATCAGAGCTTCATGGGTCGTTTCCTGTTCAGACGACGGCCTCACTCATGTTTTCATTTTAAAATCCTCTGTGTGTTTGAGCTCCGTGACACACCTGAAAACACGGATCACATGACCGTTCACGTGCACTGAGCATGTGCATGCTGGTGTAAACAGGAAGCAGATTGTCTGCTCCACTGGTTCAGACAGGTAGAGACCAGAGGTGTTACAGCTGTTGAGCTCTCACACACACACAGACACACACACACACACACACACACACACACACACACACACACACAGAGGAAGAGAGAAGCATGAAATGGAGTCTGCTGACTGCTGACAGTGTGTGTGTGTGTTTGAACACAGTCAGTGTTAATCCTCAGGCTGAGCTGATGGCCTCTGTGTCTTACAGCAGCAGCTCCCCCCTCCCTCTCTCCCTCTCTCTCTCCCTCCCTCCCTCTCTCCCTCTCTCTCTCCCTCCCTCTCTCCCTCTCTCTCTCCCTCCCTCTCTCTCTCTCTGCTGCTCTTCACATGTTCTTAAAACTCTGCTGGACCTGTTTTATTTTGAAAACTCAGGGGTTGTGTTTTATTTTGAAAACTCAGGGGTTGTGTTTTATTTTGAAAACTCAGGGGTTGTGTTGTAGTCTAGTGTAGAGATTGTTTTCGTTTGAAAACAAAGTTTTAAAATAAAAAGTTGTGTGGACGCATGATGATGATGATGATGATGATGATGATGATGATGATGATGATGATGATGATGAGAGAAAATCTGAAGCTGGAACAAACAAACGTCTTTTGTTTGATTTCCAAGCAGATTTCTATGACAACCCCCCCCCCACACACACACACACACACACACACACATACACACACCACCCTCCACCCGATGCATGTGTGTGTGTGTGTTTATGGGACAGCCGGGGTCGACTCAGGTGGATTAGGTTTTATTTTGTGACATAAGCTGATTTCACAACATCACATATGATCTTTTGTTCTGGGACCTGAGCCTGACCTGGTTCACAGCTCTGTGTGTGTGTGTGTGTGTGTGTGTGTGTGTGTGTGTGTGTGTGTGTGTGTGTGTGTGTGGGTGTGTGTGTTGTGTGGTATATGTGTAATGTGTGTGTGTGTGTGTGTGGTGTGTATGTATGTGTATGTGTATGTGTGTGTGGTTGTGTGGCGCCATCGTGTGATGGCCACATTTCTATTTTAGACCGGAGACAGTAAATATTTCATCAGTTTCTGCAGGATGATGAGTGACGCAGGAGGAAGATGAGCACTGACTCTCGGCTCGTTTGTCTTCACACTAATAAGAATCCATCACTGCTGAGTCTGTCTCCTGGTCCAGGTTCAGTACCTGATCCTGGTTCTGTCAGAGGGTGTGGACTCAGTCGGTTCCTCTGATTGGCTGCAGGTCAGCAGATGGTGGAACGTGGACACAAGCACCAGAACTTGTTTGTTTCTCCCTTCTGAGGGAATTTTACCACAGACAGATTTCAATCATTCTGTGTTTGAGACGATGAGGACGTCACGACTCTTACGTTTTTTATTTCTGCATATTCTAACATGATGTGAAACACAATGTATTTACAAACAATTTATTATGAATGAAGAACCAGAAGTTCTTTAAGAGTGGACAGTCTACTTGTTTACTTGTCTTAACATTAGCTCGCTAGGCTAACTCACTAGCGCTAGGCTAGTTAGCAAGTTTTATGTATTAAATTCTCCTTCTACATTGTTAAAGTCACATGACACTTGGATTATTCAGATGACAAAATAGTGGATGAATTTATTGCAAAAAAAAACATTTCCTCGCCAGAGACGGCGGCCATCTTGAATTTTTGCATTGTATCAAAAGGATGAGAGGATGAGACTCACCTGAGCAGATCCATCACACCTGTGTGGTGTGGTTGACAGGTCAGGTTTGCTGATGCTCTAACACACACATCAAGTCTCTTCAGACATTAACACAGACAGCTCTCTGGGTTTAACCTGGATAGATTATAGATTATAGATTATAGATTATAAACCCATGAAGACGTTTTGGCACTTCCTGTTTGCACATGTGCATTATGGGGGATTTTGTAGTTGCAGCAAAGCAAAGCTGTATCAGATCTGTAGCTACATCCAGGTTTATGCTAATATGCTAATCACACACTTGCTCTCATGTGTTGTATTCTTTGATTAGTGATAACATATGAGTTGATTAATTTATTTCCTGCGTGATGATCTGAGGATGTGAGTGAATGAATGAATGAATGACTACGTTCATGTTCATCACAGCGGAGGTTTCCTCTGGTTCAGACTGGATGTGTGAGCGGTTTGTCAATGAAGCTCAGTGAGACTCCAAACGTCCAACGTCCCAGTGGGAGGTTCCTGGAGACAGGAAGACTTCTCCTGCTTCCAGAGAACAGGCCGCTTCCTTTTAAGGCCTTCAGCAGAGGAGGAGGAGGAGGAGGAGGAGGAGGAGGAAGAGTTGGCAGGGAAACAAGCCGAGCAGGAATGTAAATGATTCGTCTACCTGCTGATGGTGTTTGGGGGGGGGGATCTGGACATTCCTGTTTCTTGATGTCAGGTCTTAGTGGGTCAGTGTGTGACTCCTCTCAGTCACAGTGTGCGGAGGAGGAGGAGGAGGAGGAGTCAGGCTGTGACCTAGTTCAGGACACAGCTGGATGTATGAGCTGCTTCAGAGGAAGAACTCCGACTTTAAAAAACATGAAACACAAACAGAGAGGGAGATGTGACGTAGAGAGTTATTTAAAACCATCTCTTCTTCTTCTTCTTCAGTTGTCACCTTGAGCTCGCTGCATTTAAACTCTACAGGAAGCAGAGTGTGACTTTCAAATGTTTCCTCTCAACAACAACAAGCTGTGCCAGCGTCAGACCTGAGGAAAACACAATATTATCCATCCTAAACATTCAATATAATATTCAATTATCTTACATATATATGGAAATCAATATTAAATATTATATGTATAATATAATATTTAATACAGTAAAAAGATGTTAGAGCGTGAGATTTTTTATCTTAACTGTGTTTTATAAAATCAATAGTTACTGCACATTGTCTGACGACTGCAGTGGATTTATTTGATTCTACATGTTTGTCTTTATGGATCGTTTGTGACAGATTAAAGTGAGTTCTGTTGATCTGGGATTATAACCTGGATTGTGACATGAAGTCCTGAGACTGAACATTGATCTGAATGTGGCGGCTCAGAGTCTGGATCATATTCAGGTTCATGATCCAACAGTCTGTGTGTGTGTGTGTGTGTGTGTGTGTGTGTGTGTGTGTGTGTTGCTGACGGTGAAATCAGGTCAGTCTGTGGTTGGCAGATAAATCCAGATCAGGGTCTTATGGACATGTCCTGAAAACAGGTTTTAATATGTGAATGTAATCCAGGACAATAACAGAGTGATGTCATCATGGCTGAGGGAGGCGGTGCTTGTGTCTGACAGCAGGGGGCAGCACCTGCATACCTGTGACTCAGAGACTCTCGTCTCTGGTCTCTGGTCTCTAGTGTCTAGTCTCTGGGAGTCTGTTCAGATGTGGAATAAGAACTGAAGACCACCTGAGAGGTCTGAACTCTGCAAACAGTAGCAGAACTGTGTGTGTGTGTGTGTGTGTGTGTGTGTGTGTGTGTGTGGGCAGGGCCACACGTCCTCACACCCATTTTAATCTTTATTAATCTCCAATGTGAAAACATGAGTGAACAGTCACCACGTCACGACAACAGGAACAATGGCCGCTCACAGGAAACAAACAGCTGCTGCTCTGAGCCCTGAGTTCAGGCTGCAGGCTCCATCCAAACCTTCTTACTGCTTAGTGTGTGTGTGTGTGTGTGTGTGTCTGTCCTGAGTAAGTGACATGATATTTTCGTCTCATTTGAATTATATATAAAATAGAATTATATTAAAATAGTTTTTCAAGATACAAGGTTTACTGTGTGTGATTTTGGTACATCACCAACTATAAATGTATAAATTATATCAATTTTAAATTATAATAAAATTGTGATTTAATTTATGACATAATAATATAATAATACATATAATATAATAACACATTTATACATTTATAAACAGTTTATTTTCCACAAAAGCAAAGTAAACAAACAGAAAACTAAGTCTCAAGAAATAAGAAAATAAAGAAATGAGGTTTGTGTCAACGACCTCAGCAACATGATGAATATAATAATCACAGCAAATATTATTATTATTATTATTATTTTTATTGTTATTATAGTTTAATCCTCTCTGTCATTATATTAAAATTGTGCTTGGTAGTTTAATCATCATATGTGAAGATCATCATTCAGAATGTTTATATGTAACATCTTCATTTGTAAAAAGTATAAAGATATAAAGATATAAAGATATAAAGTACTGAATGTTAGTAAATGAAATACTGAGTTCAGGGGTAAAGATCCTGGGTGTGTTGAGCTGCTCTCAGTCTGAAGGACTCGGCGCCCCCTGCTGGTCAGAGGGTGGAGACGCTGCCATCTGCTGGATCAGGTCACATAGGACAGATGTTCCTTTATTAACCCACAGTGGGACAGTAGCAGAGTCACAAAGTGATGATATAATATCTTCCAAAATAATATAAAATAATATACAAAAATATAAAATGTACAATTACATATAAGAAATATTAAATACAACAAAAACAAACGCAGCAGCAGATAAAAGTGATAAAAGTGACACATGGTGAATTGGTGACATGGTGTTGTTGTTGCAGCTGATGATGTCACAGGTGATGATGTCACAGTACAGGTGTGTTGTTGTTCCAGGTGAGCTGCTGAGCCAGCCGCGGCCCGAGGGTCTGACTGAGATCATCTGTCCAAAGAACGGCTCGGAGCGGGTCGACGTGGCTCTGGTCTACCCCCCCACTCCCACCGTGGTCAGCCCCTGTCTCAAATGACCCCCCCCCCCCCAGGCCTGGACCTGACCCCCCCGGTCGGCTCGTCTCACTGTGTCACCTCTACAACCCCCCACCACCCCACCCCCACTGACCTGAACCTCCGGCTGAAGCGGCGTCACCTCCTCACTGCCTCACATGTAGGTACCTCTGATGTCATCACAGCAGCTGATCATGTGACAGCTGTCTGACCTGATGATGTCACTGATGATGTCAATGTTGATCTGTGTCTCTTCTCTTCCAGGTCGTTTCTGACTCATCACTGACACTGAACTGTTTTAAGGAGCGATGATGAGCTCGAACTTCAGCCTGGACCCTCCCCCACCCCCCACCCCCGTCTCCTCTCTGACCCCCCCCCAAAGACAGAGACCAGGACAGAAGACAGAGACCAGGACAGAAGACAGAGAACAGGACAGAGATCAGGACAGAGACAAGGACAGAGGACAGAGACAAGGGCAGAGGACAGAGACCAGGACAGAGGACAGAAGACAGAGACCAGGACAGAGGACTGAGATCAGAAGACAGAGACAAAGACAGAGGACAGAGACAAGGACAGAAGACAGAGACAAAGACAGAGGACAGAGACAAGGACAGAAGACAGAGACCAGGACAGAGATCAGGACTGAGATCAGGACAGAAGACAGAGACCAGGACAGAAGACAGAGATCAGGACAGAGACAAGGACAGAAGACAGAGACCAGGACAGAAGACAGAGACAAGGACAGAGGACAGAGACATCAGACTGTGTCTGATCGCGGCTCTGTGTGGAGAGGACGACCATGAGGACATCAGGACAGAAGACATGAAGACATGTACATATGTGTGTCTCTGTGTCTCCAGCAGAGGACAGCCTGTTTCTGTGTCATCAATACGTTTGACAGATTATTGATAAATGATCCACAACATGATTAACATTGATATTAAAGTGATCAGACTGAAGACGATCAAACTGTTTCTGCTTCTCAGGTCGTGAAACACTGACCTGGAAAAATCTAGTTTCCATGGTAACCACTTCCTGGGTGGAGCAACCTGTGACGCTCCTGGTTCAGATGAACCTGAGCTCGTTGAATCAGGTCTAGAATCTGATCTAGGACCAGTTCCAGACCAGAGCTGGTGACACAGAAACAGCCTCATTGTGACGGGCGGGGGGTGTCCATGCCCCCCCCCCCCCAACACATCTGCAGCAGAACAACAGGAACCTGCTCTTCCCTGTACAGATGTTTGCTTCAGCTGCAGATGTTCCTGCAGTACGGACGATGTAAAGTAACCAGAGCATCTTTAATGCCAAGGACGAGTCCAGATGAGTCCAGATGTGGACCTGCACTGTGTGTCCTGTGTCAGACTTCATCCACACACAGTGACTGTATATACCATCAGGTGTGCGTCTCACGTGTCTCACTGAGCCGTGTTGTTTCTCTCTGATGTAAATAATATCTTTATTTTTGTATGTTGACACGAGCTTCGACTTTATTTACAGTGCAACGTGGAGCATGACTCACTGTGAGGTCACACGGGGTTTTCTATGTAGCTGGGTCAACATCTCACAGGACGACATGAAATACCAAAAACAAATAAACCAATAACTGGCTTTAGTACCACTGCACCGTGTCGTCTGGTTCATGTCGCTGTCACGCTGACGACGTCAGAGCCGACGTCTGCACATCACGCCCTGTAACAACAAACATCATTTGCTTTTAAAACACTTAAAAACATTAAGAATATTTATTATATTTTTAATATTTACATCTTTTCACCAAAATTGTTGGAAATCATTTGTTGGTCCACAGGTTGGGAACCTGCATCAGAGTTTATCATGTGATCATGTGATCTGTTCACACAGACCACAGCTGCTGAGACACTGATGACTGGGAACTACTTTCTCCATTCTGCTGCTGAAAATACGCAAAAGCACCAAACGTGTATTCATCCGCAGCTGAAAATAGTCCCCAACAGATACACTTTATCCTTCTGTTTAAGTCACGTTTGATAAAAACTACAGCGAGCAGCTGTTTTAGGAAATGACTGAGAATCTTTTTTAAAATGAACCAGTTTTGGTTTTGGTCTTTTTATTGGATTTATCAACAGTTAGAAAACGACAGAGTATCACCTGCTCTCTCCTTTAATCAGACGGAGATCTGACTCAAGATTAAATGTTGACTCCTTCAAAAGTTTCATTTTAACAGCTGTCAACAACACCTGAAGTTTTCTGACACTTCAGGTTTGATTTCTCCTCAGCTGAGGGAGTTACTTGAGGGTGATGCACAGAATCTCTTAAGAGGTTTTCTTAGTTAAAGTTAATTATACTACAGTTAGTTCTGACCAAGTAATGTGATTGGACGAGAGGCTGATATAGAGTAAAACAGCTCTGGGACTTTTCACTCCATGTATCACTCCTCTCACATCTGTTCTATCAACCGTTAATCAGCGTCACATTAACGTTATCGATCTCAGACTGTAACAAACAAAGATGAAAATATTTCAGAAATAAGGTTTGAATGAAACGATGTCGTCAGGAGAGGATGGAGGAAGAAGGTGGATCCTGAGGGAACACCTGAGGCAACGAGGAGACGAGGCAGCAGCTAGTGTCACTGTGCAGGTCAGGAACATTTTATGTGTTGCTTAGCAACAGTCCAGTACCTGTCCAGATGTGGAACTATTTGTGATGAAATAAACAAAGAAATCATGATCTGTTGTTGTTTATTTAGCTCATAGAACTGTTGTATAAAAGAAATATCACATGATAAATCAATATAGCATGACAGATATATCCATATGTTCAGTTATTTTATATTTTCTATCTATCTATCTATCTATCTATCTATCTATCTATCTATCTATCTATCTATCTATCTATCTATCAGAAAGAGGTATTTAGATGAAAGTATGTAAACAGTTTTTAGCGGGAATCTTAGTCTCAGGCGTGTGAAGGTGTTTCCCGTCTCTAATCTAACTCACCTGTTACTCCCCCTCCTCCCTCCTCCCTCCTCCCTCCGTCCCTCTGAGGACCGTGCTCCTCCGGTCCGCCAGGGGGCGCTGAACCTCTGGAGAAGCAGAAGAAGAGGAGCGCTAGCCCCGGCACTTCCTCTTCCCTCCGCGGCCTCAGAGGTAGGAGCTCCCTTCTGCATATGAAGACCAGAATCTGTCTTTAATCTACATTAAATCTTCGCCATCTCTCTTTTTAACCCGCTGGTTTTGGTTCATCATCGTTAAACACATGAGATGATGGTAGATGTTTGAGTCTGGAGCCGTAAAGTTTGTTTTATTTTAATATTTGTGGAGACGCCGGTTTGGAGGCTAGCACGGCTGTCCGCCATGTTGGCTGCGTCTGAGGATGAAACCCGGGACTAAACGCGGTTTAATCTGAATTTAGACGTTATTTCTCTGCAGTAGTTTGTGACTCTGGTTGCTCTCGGTGTTTAATAATGTCTGCTGCTGTTTCTGAGTCGTATTTAGTGAAGTAATTGGAGCTGTTAGCCATGCTAATGCTAACCAGCAGCAGTCATGAGGAGCCTGTTGTGAACTGTGTTGAACTCTGAACATTTAATCTCTTTACAGATTTTCTCAAAATGGTCCGCTACTCTCTCGACCCCGAGAACCCGACCAAATGTGAGTAAGAGCGGGAAAATCTGTCTGTAACAGCGTTAGCTCGGTGGCTGTGATGACTTCTTAGGACACCTTTGGATTCACCATGAAAACAAATCAATGAAATCTGAGCTTCCACATGTTGAACAGACACTTTCTGCTGAAACAAGCTTTTATTCTGTTTCTAAAAACCTGCTTCTCTTATTGCAGCATGCAAGTCGAGGGGCTCCAACCTCCGGGTTCACTTCAAGGTAAGCTGGTGCTGATGGTCCACATGTGGGTCCGAGTCTGAAGGGAAGACTGGTCTGGGGTTTAAATGATAAAGTGACTGTTGGTCAGTTTATAGCTGAACATATGTGATGGATAAATGTGTTAAATGTCTGTCTGATACTAAACTGAATTGGACATGAAAGTGATCAGCATTAATCATTGATTCACCTTCATCCATCTTTACTGTGTAAAAGGTAAAACAGCAGGCGGTGCAGCAGCTTGATGAAAGTTGATTACTAATGGAAGAGACTGGTAGAAGTTACTTCAGCTTATGTAATTACTGGTTGAACAGTTTCTGAGGTGGTGTCTTCATGTCTTGTTTTGACCAACTGTCTTAAACTTAGAGAAACAAACTCCTCATTAATGAAGCTGGAACCTGCAAATATCTGATATTCAATTTGGAAATGAGTTGATCAATAATCTGTCAATCAGTTTCACTGCTGAACTGAACACCTTTAGGTTTTGAGCTGCTGGTTGCAGCCCTGGTTCTGTTTGAGTTACTGACAACATCTAAAATAAGATGATTTGGTCTGTACCTGAGTTCAGTGACTCACCTGGAACAGATTGCGATGATGACCATTTAGGACACCTTTGTATTAACCATGAAAACAAAATGTAACTCTGAGCGATCTGTGAGTCACTGGATGACAATGTTCTTAACTTACTAGAGCTGCACAACATGTTAAACTCATTGTGGTTGTTTTGGGAGATGTTGTGATTTCAGTTGAAATGATCTTTTGTTTTATTGATTTTCTCTGAAAATATAAAGATGTGATTTTTGTTGGTTCTTGTACTAAACAAACACGTTCCTTTGTGTGGAGAATATGATCAATAGACTGAGCAGTTCTGTAGCTCCACAACACTGGTGCTAACAATGCTAATGCTAACAATGTGGCATATATATTGAGATCAGTTGTGCAGCTCTAATATTTGCTATTTGTTCTAGTCTTATAGTTGTTTAGAGGTAACGGCTGTCTACAAACCTCCACACCTTTACTGTCATTGTGTTAGTCATGTGTAACTACTGTCTGATCTGTGTGGCTTCTCGTTGTGTGAACAGAACACCCGTGAGACGGCCCAGGCCATCAAGGGCATGCACATCCGCAAGGCCAACAAGTACCTGAGGGACGTGGTCGTCAAGCACCAGTGTGTCCCCTTCCGTCGCTACAACGGCGGCGTGGGCAGGTGTGCCCAGGTGAGTTCTGAGCGAACACCTGTGCAGCGTGGAGTCTGTAGAAGCTGCAGGGATGACTCTCTTAGGACACCTTTGGATTCAAGATGAAAATACTCTGTTGAAACTGAGCAGCTTCTTTAAATCAGCCTGTTGTAGCGGAGGAGGGAACGTTTCTTCTAACCAGGTTTGATGTTTTCAGGCCAAACAGTTCGGCTGGACTCAGGGTCGCTGGCCCAAGAAGAGCGCCGAGTTCCTCCTGCACATGCTCAAGAACGCTGAGAGCAACGCTGAGCTCAAGGTACGTTCACTGACGCTGCGTTCATCGATTCTTACAGAGCTCAGACTCACGACTGACTCCTGCTTAATTAGATGATAAATCACAGATGAGATAGAATTAAAATTAGTCTGAACCAAAACAAACCTTTCATTTTGATTTTGTCAGATGTGACAGATTTGTGGCCTCACATCACATGTGTGGTGGATGACGCTCTGCTGCTGCGTGCTAACACTGAAAACGATCTGCAGGAAGAAACAGATTAAAGGAACAATATTTTTTACATGTTTGTTACTGGATGACATGAGAATCTGATGCAGGAGAATCTGCAGCAGAGATTTACAGGTTTCTGTTCTGGAACTGTTAAAGACAATTTTTCACTGAAATATCTTTCAGGAAGAAATTCTAACTTCCAAAACATTAAACCAGATGTTGAATCTGTGAGAAACAGTGGTGTGTACTTACACCTGGCCTGTACTGTGGCTTCAAACAGGAAACGAGTGAGCAGCTAAATGTTGAACCTGTGGATGAGTTAATATTTCATATATATATATATATATAAAATCTGTACCTGAGTTCAGTGACTCACCTGGAACAGATTGCGATGATGACCATTTAGGACACCTTTGTATTAACCATGAAAATGAAATGTAACTCTGAGCGATCTGTGAGTCACTGGATGACACGGGGTACTGTTACTGTTTGTAGGTCTGGGAACATGATCCCACACTGTCAATACACATTATTATTATTATATACATTATTTATGTAGTTAGGCTGCATGGAAAAGATACTATAATCTGTTTATAATCTGTTTTTAAAAGTTATAGTCAAACAGGTTCAGACTGACGTGCTGTTGATGATCAACCGTCACTAAACATCTTTGAGTAAAACTACAACAGAATTCACTGTCAGACATTTTACTGACAAAAGATTCAGTTTAATTTAATGTGAGAGGAAAAGCATCAAACCCAGTGACCAGAGAGTTGAGGCATCATCTTGAAAAATAAACGATCAATAATTAAAATGCTGGCTGATTGTTTCACCTGGTTGGTGTCAGTTCAGGCTCTGAAGCTTCAGGTGAGGACGCAGGTGTTGGTTTGTCTGTAGATTTAAATGTTGTTGCTGAAACATTGAACGGGTCACACTCATGTTTTCCTCTGTCAATAATCAGACAGGAAATGAATCTGCAGCTGTTTATTGATCATGACAAGTTTCTGCTTCAGCTTCAACTGATGGTTTAAGAAAACGAGACGTTTAAAGACTGTTGGAAAATATGAGCACTCACTCCAACAAACCGATCAGTTCAGATGAAATCAAACACTTTGGCTCATTAATCAATAATGGAAATAGTTGCAGCTCTAACATGAATCTGACATTTAAATCTGCTGCATGAAGAGAAACTAAAGTCAGAATTGTTTCTGAATCTGCAGCAGTTTCCACATGATGCCTCACCTGTTCAGTCATCAGGTGTCACTGGACAGTTTGATTCACCTGAACCTTTAACGGTCTCGTCATGTGACGGTCATGTGACCAGGACATTTAAGGAACTTCCTAACGAGTGGACGTCAGACTTTGGTTAAAACAGTCAGAACATGAACTTGTAATTTTACTGAAAGTGTTTGATATTTTTCTTTCAGCCTCTTTAATGTGACATTAACCTGAACATCTTCAGACTGTTGGTTTGAACAAACAGAATCAGATCAGGTTCCAGGAATTAAAGACATAACGATTTAATTAATTTAGAAAATCACAGGTTTGATATTGGAAATAAAGTTGCAGCGTGAACAGTTGAACAAAAAGCAAACATTAGTGTAGGTGAAGCTGACGTCCTGAACACGTCACTGTAACACGGTGTGTAACTGTCAGCTGCTTTAACGCTGAAGCAGATGAGCACGGACAGCTGTCAGGTAAAGGTGTGTCTCACCTGTGTGTGTGTGTGGTTCCAGGGTCTGGACGTGGACTCCCTGGTCATCGAGCACATCCAGGTCAACAAGGCTCCCAAGATGAGGAGGCGCACCTACCGCGCCCACGGCCGCATCAACCCCTACATGAGCTCCCCCTGCCACATCGAGATGATCCTGACCGAGAAGGAGCAGATCGTCCCCAAGCCGGAGGAGGAGGTGGCTCAGAAGAAGAAGGTAACGAGGGGGGAGGGGCTGACGGAGCGTTCAGACACGGTTACTGATCAGGGAAGTCTTTAATAAATAACTAGCTTTATATTTCTGCTGGTTCTTTGATGATGAACCTGTTAAAGTGGATTTATTGAACGCTGCAGAGACAGGAAGCACAAGAACACGAACAGCGAGGCTCAACGTACAACACACAGGATGATTAACAACACAACCATCATGTAATAGAAAACGCATATACAGCTGTCAGATCAGTTCATCGCTCCATTCTTCTACTTAAATATTATTACACATATATATATATATATATATATATATATATATACACATACACATACACACACACACACACACACACACACACAACACAGTAAAGTCTTTCCCTGCAGCCGTTGTGAAATCGTCCAGCTCGTCTGTTTCTTCCATGAGACTCAACAACACTTTACTTGCAAGAGGCAGATGTTTTTAGAGACGAACATCTGGATGAATATTCAGTTCAGTCTGTGATCTGACGTCCAAACACACGTTATCTGGAGAAAGTCCCACAGAGAAAGAAGCTTGAGTTGAGGTGAGATGTTGAAGTGATGCAGGGAGTGATGATCCGTCTGTATGAGCGTGTTGCAGAGGAACAGGTGTCTGTGTCTGAACGCACCGACTCACCTGTCTGCTTCTGCCTCTGGTGGCTGCACTGATGACTTCTTAGGACACCTTTGGATTACCCATGAAAACAACCTGTTGAACTCTGAGCAGCTTCACCTGTACACACACACACACACACACACACACCCGGCGACAGCTTAATGACTCTGACTTTGTCTCTGCAGGTTTCACAGAAGAAGCTGAAGAAGCAGAAGCTGATGGCGCGGGAGTAAAGATATTAATAAACAGAACTTGTTGTCACTCAGGTCTCTGGGTCTTTGTTGTTGTTGTTGATGATGATGATGATGATGATGAAGAACTCCAGATGTTTCCTGAAAACCACAACACTCACACTCGTGACATCAGGGCGACATGATCCCAGAGGTTAACATCTCTGTAAAACACAGTTCTGATCCGTCAGACTTTTTTATTCTGTTTGTGAAAATGGAAAAAAGGAAATTTCAGGGGTTTTTTTTTTCCTGCATCTAGAACAAGTCCAGATTTAAAACCTCTGCACTTGTGGAATCAGGTCCAGACTAATTTCCCCTGAGCTGCTGAATCAGCTGTGAATCTGAGCGTCGCCCGTCAGCGTCTCGAGACGTAAACGCTTCAAGAAATCAGGACCAGTTTTTACTGATGAATGTTATGTTGTAGAATAAAATGTGTCATTAACCACAAACCTTATTTCAGTCATAAAACCATGAACTAACCACCGGACCGTGAACAGGAAGTGACGTGACTGATGTGCAGGTGTTGGACTCGGTCCTGTGCGCGAGAGGAAGCAGCAGGTTGTCGGTCAGTTCTGTCTCTTAATGTCAGTTTATAACAAACTGTATTTAACTCAGTGGCTGAAGAGCAGCAGCACGTCTTCATCTGACCGACCTGCCAACACAGTGACGGAGGAAAGTTTCAGCTCATCATATAAAACAGGTTCGACTCCATTTATCTTCAGTTTAATGAATTTACTCAAAGTATCTGAAGTAAATCAGCTGTTTAAACTCCGTCCTGATGTTTCTGCAGCTGCTCGTCCTCAGTCACGTGATTCATTCAACAGGTTTTATTGGCGGCACATTTTCAACATGTTGCTGAAGCACAATTACAATCATTTAGTGGATTTACCTTATCAAAGAAAAAGTCAATATCAATATAATAAAATACTGTAATTAATAGAATAAATTGATAATGAAATAAAAGCAAAAAAGTGATAAAATACATATTGAAACTGCTAAATATTAACCCACAGTGACGTTCTGTAGAAGCTGATCATTCTCCTGGATGAAAGGGTGAACACATGAATCATGACGTCAAACATTAAAGCCTCGTGTCTGATTTAAACCCAGAGCAACAGCTGGTTTGAAGTGACGCGTCTCTGCTCCTTTAATTAAACAGACGGGATAAACTTTATTTACAACAGTTTTCATCACATGGTCACAAAGGAAAGGTAGAATTAAAATCAAACGCATCATAAAACTACATATTAATAACTATTGATAAAATACATTTATTAAAGTTACAAAGTGTGAACGAACTTAACCACCGCAGACTGAGACGACGTCACGGTGACGTTTAATGAGCGTGAACAACGTGTTTCACCTGCAGCTTCAGGGTCACTGGTTAGTAACAGCATTCACAGGTGTGATGGAGCCACATGTAGGTCACGTGACCAATCGTCCTCTTCATTGTATCATGGTTCAGCGTTTTTTCAAGAACTAAATATTTTACAAAGAAAGAAAAACAAACATCAAAGAACAAAATTAATAATAAAAAACAATAAAATAATCATTTATACAGAACTTTTCTTAACAAGGTCACAAAGAGCTTTACAATAAAAAGCAAAACAGGATAAAAGAAAAATCCAAAGAACATGAGTTTAATAAAGAGTCGAAGAGTAAAAATAAAAAACATCTCAAACATCTGACAGGAAGTGAAAAGACGCAGTAAAATATTAGAGTTTTTATTATAATTATAAGAGTTTAATTCACAAATATTTCAGTTAAACTCATTTTCCAGCAGCTGAATATTTCCACCTGCTGAGCTCAGTGTTGTTCTGGGACTGACCACAGGGGGGCGCCTTCACACCGCAGTCTGATCACACCTGAGCACGACTCTGTCCCACTGTGTCTCCATCCAGGGACACAAATCAACTTAAAGATTAGTTTAGATAAAAAACATTGTCCATGAGTCAAACAACCTCTGATCAGCTGATTATTGATGACCTACACTTTCTTTGTGTTTGTGTGTTTTTACAGAAACACAAACAGTTTTTAGTTTTTAACATTAATTTGTAGTGAAACTCATCAAACTTTAAAGCTCCTCCAGTGTAAAGGTCTGTGTCCATGTGTAGTGTGATTATAGATCAGGTCTAGCTTCTATATTAATACTGTGAAAGTATCAAAGCCTCAGTCCACAGAGAAATGCACACAGCCTGTATTCAGAAACTGAGCCTTAAAACCAGCCGTCAGGACTTCTGGAACTTTGTGATGTCACAACAAAGCAGTCACCAAGCCCCGCCCAGATTTGAGTTGTATTTACATGTTTTCTGTGAGCTGCATGTCGTCTGTAAAGCTTTTGTGTCTCTGAACTGAATCATTTTTATTATTTTTTAAAATGTATTATTTTAATTTTTTTCTGAAATAGTTGAGAGAGAGAGGAGTTGCTGTCTGCAGCAGGACGCCCCCTGCTGGTTGGGAGGACGACTCTCTGCAGTCAGAGTTTTATTGATGAGTAAAAAGAATAAAAGACAAATGTGATGATTTCTGAAAACAGATGATAATATATTGATCATATTTATTAATGAGGGACAGAGCCATGCTGTTTGTCTGTTACAGCTTTATTAGTGAAGAATCATCTATTTTCCTTTTAATTAGAAATTTTGAAAAGATTGAAATATGAATAGTTATAAAAAAAATGTGTATTTATTTTGTAGTTTGAGGCCTGAAACCTTTAAAGCTCGTTAATCACTGCCCCTCCTCCCACCCCAGACTCCTTTAGGATTATCCACAAATTAAATCCATTTAAATCAACATGAAACAGTTTGATCAAATAATCTTCATTTATTCCATTCCAATAACTAACAAATAATGATCAATAATTTGAACATATTTTCTGATGTTTAGTTTGTAAATATTATTATAGTTTTAAATGTATTTTATTGTGTCTCACTGTCAGTTTTCTTATTCAGTTTTTATCCTCTGTGAAACACTGAACTGGCCTGTATAAAACTGTTTAAATAAATATGGTTTAAATAAATTAATAAATACATAAATATATATAAAGGTCCACTTACCAGCTTCCTCTTCTGCTTTCAGTCGTATCTCATGGTCTTCATCAGTGAATTACAAGATAAAATGCTTTGATATTAAGCTGCCAACAGATTCATCCCTGTGACAGCTGAACTGAAGAAGACTGTGCAGTGATGGTTGAAAGCTCAGGGAAAACTGTAATAGTTAAAGGGCCTCCGGCCTCATTAAATATTTAAATGAGATTTTAATAAAATAATGAAACTCACAGTGTATCAGCTGATGTTTTCCTTTCTATCTGTTGAACCTGTTTAACCCCCGACTCACCTGTTGACTCTCACTTCCGCATTCTTCTTTTAAAAACTACAAAAGTCCATTTAATATCAGGCGGAGTGATATCCGCTCATTTACTCCCTGATATTTGCTCATCCAGCAAATCACAGCCGAACTGCTCAGCCAATCAGGAGGCGCCCCTAAAATCCGACGGCCCTACGTCACTGTCAGGTCATCCAATCCGGACAGAGCCCCCCCTCCACCCCTGCTTCACCCCCCCCTCTCCGTTTCCTCCTCTCAAACTTTGGACTTGCAGCTAATAGATGATCAGTTTTATTATCTTTCAACTTGTGCAGCTCAGCTCAGAAACCGGCTCCTGTCGTCCTGGTTCTGAAGTGGATCCGGACCCGGGACTGTCTGCGCGGGAACCTGAACTCTTTTCTTTTGGGGGTTTTGGTTCCAGGTGGAGGATTTGGATTTGTGTGGCGGACCGGGTCTGACATGGGTTTTGAATGTGAGTCCAGAGAAGAGCGGGTCTTGGTTTAGTTCTAGTCCGGACTCTGTCAGGTGCGCAGGGCCCCAGACCCCCACAGAGACCTGGTCCAGCCGTCCCGGATCCTCCAGAGAGGTGGTAATGTTAGCGGTGGGTCAGATGGACGGGTCCCGACAGAGCGCCTTCCTCCTCAGCACCCCCCCTCTGGCAGCTCTGCACAGCATGACCGAGATGAAGACCCCGCTGTACCCGGCGTACCCGCTCTCCTCCACCGGCCCCAACTCCTCTACCTCACCGGCCACCACCTCTCCCAACCCGGGCGGCATGGCCGTGTCCTCCCCGGGGATCAAGAGCTCCACGGGGCTGTCCTCGGGGCTGGGCTCCCCGCAGCAGTGCTCCTCCGCCACCCCGCACGGGATTAACGACATCCTCAGCCGGCCCTCCGCCTCCTCCGCCGGCGCCACGGTGGCAGTGGCCGCCGCCGCCGCTGCCGCGTCCTCCTCCGCGGGGATCCTGTCAGGGCTGCCCCGGTTCAGCAGCCTCAGCCCCCCGCCGCCTCCCGGACTTTACTTCAGCCCCAGCGCCGCGGCGGTGGCGGTGGCCCGGTACCCGAAGCCCCTGGCGGACCTGCCGGGGAGGACGCCGATCTTCTGGCCGGGAGTGATGCAGAGCCCGCACTGGAGGGACGCACGGTTCGCCTGCTCCCCCCGTGAGTTTCATCCAGAGAGACATTTCATTCTGTCACAGCAAAATAAAAAAATCAATTATTATTATTAGAATAAATAAATAATTGTCTTAATTAAAACCAGCTGTTTGTGTTTCATGCTTTTATTTTGTGGCTGTTTCAGACCAGAACTCCGTGTTACTGGACAAAGACGGGAAGAGGAAACACACCCGGCCCACGTTCTCCGGGCAGCAGATCTTCGCCCTGGAAAAGACTTTCGAACAGACCAAGTACCTGGCGGGGCCGGAGAGAGCGCGGCTGGCCTACTCCCTGGGCATGACGGAGAGCCAGGTGAAGGTGAGAGAACCGCCAAACACAAAACTACTGAACGGAAAAATCAGCTTCATCAGAGAAAAAGTTTTTTTTCTTCATGCATTTTTATTTTTATCTGTTTTTCTGCAGTGAAAAATAAAGTTAAATATTTTTTATTTTGCCAATAAATCAATCAATAATTTCACTCCAGGCTGAAACACTGAGGCTTTTATTTTTCTTTCTTTTTCTGAAGATGTTTTAAATTAAATTCACTTTTTTTCTTCTTCTTTTATTTCTGTTAAAATGTCATTTAATGAAAAACCTCCACGAGGCCTTTCTATCATCTGAGCACGAGCTTCATTTAATCATAAACTGCTCGTGACAGCTCCAGGTTTATTTATTAAATGTTTTTTTATTTTTTCTGCAGCAGATTTTTTACTTTTCTGTTTGAATTTCGCTGCAGAAATAATAAAGTCTTATTCATATTATTATTATTATTGTTGTTGTTGTTATTATTAGAATGAATTGTGTTTAAAATAATAATACATAATGAGTGTAAATGAGAGCAGCTGCTCGGTGGATCTGACCGGACCTGTGTGTGCTTGTGACCCAGGTGTGGTTCCAGAACAGACGGACTAAGTGGAGGAAAAAGCACGCGGCGGAGATGGCCTCGGCCAAGAAGAAGCAGGACTCGGAGACGGAGCGGCTGAAGGGGACGTCGGACAACGAGGACGAGGACGACGACTACAACAAACCTCTGGACCCGAACTCTGACGACGAGAAGATCACACAGCTGCTGAAGAAGCACAAACCGGGCTCCGCGCTGCTGCTGCACACGTCCGAGAACGACAGCTCGTAACTGTGGGGCCAGACTCTGGGGGGGTCCGCTGCAGACCCCGGTCCTTTTGTTTCCTTGTGTTTTTGCACGGTGGAGGAGGAGGGGGACTCCGGTACCGGACACGGACCCGTTCAGGCCCAAAACACGGAGGAGGCGCGACTTTATTGTAAATAGAACCGTGAGTTGTAAGAATAGAAAATATCTGCTGTGAATAATTTATGTGTTTTGTACAGACGCACTGATCCCAGACCTGGTCCCAGACCTGGTCAGAACTGATCCCAGAACTGATCAGAACTGATCCCAGACCTGATCAGAACTGATCCCAGACCTGATGATTTTCTTTTTTTCTATTTCACTCCGACATTTCTAAAAAAAAAATACTAAAAACAACCACAAACTTTTCTTCTTCTGCGGGTCCGTGAAGGCCTCCTGACCCACCAGTCTCAAATTAGGAGGAGCACCTGAACGCACCGCACGCACCTGTACATACACACACACACACACACACACACACACGCGGTTTTTATTTATGTGTGAGTTGAGTGAAGCCTGCAGCTGTGTATCATGGCGGGTAAATGTAATGCACTTTTATTTAATAAAAACTCAAAGGTTTGCTTCTTGTTTTCATCACGTTCATTAATTTAATTAATGCAGCTTTTAAATCATTAATAACTGATATTGATTAATTCATTAATAATAACGGGCAGAATGGCCAATTAATTACCAGCCCCAAAATCCTAATCAATATTCATCATGTCACCCTTTTATTCCCACTGCCGCCACAGATATTATTATTATTATTATTATTATTATTATTATTATTATTATTATTATTATTGTTATTGTTGTTTAAAGTTAAAATTGTAAAAGTTTTAAAACTTAAATTCAAACTTTTCTTTTTTTTCTCGATGAGAAAAAAATCATTTCAGAAACTGATTTAATGATCTTTAGTTTTTGGCGGTAAAACCAAACCGTGACATCAGAGTCTTCGTCTGGGAAGAAGCCAGCTCAGTGTTCACGGTTTCATCATCTTCATCATCTTCATCATCTTCATCATCATCAGCTCGTTTTCTCTCAGATTGAAAAATCAGCGGAGCGACGAGCAGCTGATCTTTAATTCATCACGTGTGGATCCAGATGTGACGCGGCGCTGCAGATGTGTCGATTATTAAAAAAAAAAAAAATCAGATTCATGGAGAAAAAAAAAAGATAAAACGACAGAAAGTGAAGCGACTCTGGTTCATCTCCTCCCCGGAGTCAGTGCGGACTCAGCGGGCAGCGGGCGGCTCTGTGCCGGCTGGAGGCAGCAGCTGTCCGCGGGCAGGAGGAGCTCAGGCCGCCGCACCACACCGGGGTTATTTTATTAGTATTTTATTAGTATTTTATTATTTTATTTCAGCTCTGAACAAAAAAACACTTTATTTTATTTAAATCTACATTTGACTCATTTGAATGAGAGTGATTTCACGTGAGAAAACAGCTCGTGTTCAGGTTATTTATAACGTGACCGTGACAGAGGTGAACGTGCTGCAGATCACAGGGGATAATAATAATAATAACAATAATAATAATGATGATGATGATGATATTAATAATAATAATAATGATAAAAATGATAATAATGATGATGATAATAATAATAATAATAATAATAATAATAATAACAATAATAATAAT